GGAGATGAGCTCCCTGTCACGAGAAGCGAGCAAGTGGCGTGTGTGTTGAAAGGAGTATCAGACTCCCTGAGGTGGATAACATGAGGAGTTGCATTTTAACTGGGGGAGGAATATTTGTCCTGGAGGCACAGAACTGGGAAGGAGCTGGGCTCTATGAAAAGCAGGCAGGAGCCTCTTATGGTAGAGGGTGAGCCTCGCCAGACACTGGGCACTGGGGTCTGAGGGCTGTGCTTGCCCTGGAAAAGCACAGGTCTGCACATGTCAGTCCCTCTCATCACTGCACAACTTCCCCTGGTGGAAATGGGCCTAGAGTTGAGCAGGTGAGGGCAAGGGCAACTGTATGCAGGGCAGGGACAGGCCTGATCCTCTGTCTTGCCACTGAGCTGGGAGAGTCAGAGGACAGAGGGTTGCGGTCTTAGGGATGGGGGGTGGAGCAGCCAGGGGTGGTGGTGTGAGGTGGTGGAGGGGAAAGGGTATCTTTCTCTGGATTCTTTGTTGTCCTTGCAGTAGTGTTTTCAGACCAGGTTGGGGAAGGACCAGAAGGAACATTAGGAGGTGGCCCTTCCCTTGGTGGGCAGCATCAAGGACCATCTTCTCTCCCCAAGTGCCCTCACTGTGCCCAAAATCCAAGGGAGCCAATAGATTTCAAGTCCTCTCAGTCTCTCAGAGCTGTGGGCTGAGGATAAGATAGCCGTCCACCTGAGGGGCCCAAAGCCTGCCCTGTGTCCACAGTGCCCTGCCTGGGCGTCATTGGGCCCCTGACGGGGGACACGTTGCTAAAACCACGATAATGGCATGCATGTCTCAAATAATGGAAAACACATTTCCAGGCAAAGAAGGCAGGGTGCACACCAGGAGCACACACCGTGTGCAGACCCAGCTCCGATCCACATGGTCAGTCTAGGACTCATGGTCATTTGTGGGCTCACTTCAAAGAGGCTGCTGCAAGCTGAAGGCACCCAGGAAGCTGTGGGATCGTGAAGCCAGTTCATTAAAAAGAAGCAGTCTGCTTAGCCTGGAGAAGCCTCCACTCCCAGGGGGACCAGGCCACATTTTTCAAAGAGAAGAGGCCAAGATCAGACGGGGAGTAGAGGAGACCAAAGGTTTACTCGTGTCTGTTTATGCCTGTGGAGCAGCCACAGGCTCATGGATTCTTAAAGCCAAATGGGCTCTGAGACCCACCCCCACTGATGTGCAGTCAGGGAAGTTTCTGTACATCTGCAGGTGTAGGCGTTTTAGTTTTGGGGTGTTCATGTATAATGCTATGTGTATAATCTACTTTCACAACTCTGGCTAAGGCAGAACACTCAAAGCCACAGATGCCCAGCGAGAAGCTAGGGGAGAACCAGCTTCCAACACAACGTCCCAAACCAGGAGACCTCCCTCTCACCATTCACTGAGATCTTGGGCTTTGTTGGCTGGTCTGTGTGATGGGCCTATGGCCTTGAGTGACTGATGATGTGCTGGTGTCCCTGACACTAGTCAGGAGGCTTGCTGGCGTTAGGGCAGAGCCAGGAGCCCCGGGCAGAGGATGCACGTGGTCATCGCGGTGTTAGCGATGTGTCCCCTGACTCAATGTGAGGTGAGCGTTTTTATTAGCTGAAGTCATTGAGCTGTAGACTAGGCTGCTTCTGGAGGTAGTGAGCTTCTCGTCATAGCAACGCAGGATGAGAGGCCCAGACGAGCAGCCATGCACACGTGGTCAAGGAGCTGCCTCTCCAGGGTGGGCTGGGACATTCTGTGGTCTCTGTCTATCTGGAAATCCCACAGGGTTAGTTCCTGGAGCTCTGAGAATGGGTGATGTGGAAGCAGTGAGTGGGGCACATAATCACCAGTGTGTCAGACTGGCCTTTGTCCAAAGCTCCTGCACATCGAGATGGAAAGGAGGCTGTCCTCAAGCAGGAAGTGCCTAAGTGGAGCATGCAGGTTCCCTTCTCCGGAAGCACTTCCTCTTGGTGGCACGTCTGGCCCCATGCACAGAGTGGCCCTGTGATGGAGCTGACCACACGTGGTCACCAAGATGCCTACAGCTGGAGCGTCACAGTACTCTGGGGTCTCCCGGCTCTGAGCAGAGTTCGATTTAAGTGGTGGAAGAATCCATGGTTTTGGTCCCATGGGACTGGATACAGCAATGAAAGCCAGGAACCTTCCACCATGAATTGATAAGACATCTTAGGTGGAGCAATAAGATGGAAGGAGCCTGGTCCTGGTTAGGGCAGCTCATCCTACAGCCTTCCTCTAGTGCACACCCAACACGCAGGAGCACACCACTCTTCTCAGGCAGGAGCTGATACCTGCTCGCAGCCTGACTTATTCATTGTCCCTATTTTTCAATAACGTAGTTTTCATGAAGACAGAATCTTTTCCTTGTTCTCTTCAGTGCAGGACTCCTAAACCATTTGCACTACACAACAATCTCAGTAAATGTTTGCAGTTGCAGTAAAGACAATGGTGGCAAACAGTGAAAGCCACCATCTCTCCAAGTGAGAGATGGAGTCGGGGACAGGCGCTGTAGCAACGCCATCTGAGCTGTTCACCCCTCCTCAACATGAACCACCCCTAGGGAGAAGGAGAGCCTATGGAAGGTGAATTCAAGGTAGATGGCTTTATGGCTGGCAGCCCTCCCCCCATCACAATGCACAAAGGGCCACCTCACTTCTAGGCCTCATCAAATGTCCGTGGAATCAAAGAATGACTGGGTGTGTGTGATGGCTACAAGAACCTTAGTGCAATCAGGCCCCCGACTTGGACTGCAAGACTAGAATCAAAGTGAGTCACTGATTGGTCAATTCTCAGACAGTTTCCCCAAGAAACAGTGCAGCCACAAAGAGATTCAGCCTCTGTGCATGCCAATTGCAGTGTGAAACGACTGAATGTCTATCTGCATGTGTGTGCGTGTATGTGTGCACCCTTCCGAGGGTGTGTGTGCATCCACACATGCATGTCTGTGCACATGCACCCAACCTTCTGTAAGTGGGTATTCACGTCAGTTTCATGAGGCAGTGTTTTTGTGCAGAGCTGTGCATGATTTCTTGGCTGCAGAATATGAATTTGCTCTAGTACTATTTTCTTGGTACACACCCAATCTTGATCCCCTTTCTTCTCGGAAATCCATTACTGAAAGGTTTTTTACCCGCCTCCAGGGGGAGGGGCTGGGGGGAAGGGGAAGCTAAAATCACAAGGCCCAGATCAAAACACTCAGCAGCTAAATGAATTCGGCAGCGTTTTCCCGCATGACTTGGAGGGATAATTTAGTGAGGCCGCCAGCTGGAAGGAAAGGGATTAATTCTGCACTTAGCACAGCTCCAGTGAATAATTCATCACTGAGACCTTTGTGCCCAGCCCCTGGGCAAATGCAGAGTGTCCTGCCCACCTGTCTTGCCTGCCTGGGTCCCCGTGCCCGGACCAGTGGCTCCTGGCATTCCTTTCAGTCTTCTTGATACGTGACCCAAGGAGGCTCAGGAGGCAGGGATAGGTGAGGTGGGCTGTGACCACTGGCAGATTCCAGACCCAAGAAAAGGCCCTGGAGGGTTGAATTCCAATCTGGGAAATTTATGACATTTTTCTCTGCTTCCCCTTTCTTGGGATCTTTTACTATTTCTGTGTCATCCCCTGCTTGGTCTATAGCTGACGCGAAATGTGCCAGGGGTAGTGTGTTTGCCTCTCCCCCAGGAATTATATAGAAGAATCTTTAGCAGGCAACACTGATCATTCCACATCTGGGGGTGCTAATGGGAGGTTTTCAGCACCCCAGAGGCCTGTGAGAGAGGATGTTTCTAAGCTGGTACCTTCCCAGACCTATGCTTCCTCTCCCACACCATGGACTTCCTTGTGTTCTTCACAGACAAGGTCGCAGGGCCAAGTATTCCTCCAGAGTTGCTATTTTTCCTGGCACAGAAAGCTGGCAGGAAGGGCTGACCCTGACATCAGATCCTGCAAGCATTGCCTAGGTTCATGGTCCCAAACTGCCCACATCCCATCTTCATGCCTTTTCCAGCACCAGAGAAAAGAAAAAGAAAAAAATCCAGCCAGGTGCCTGTCTGCCAGGCGTCCCAGAGCTAATGGCTAGCATGCAGACTGGACTCAGAGCCTAGATACAGAGGAAGCAATTTTCCATTGGGCAGGGCTTGGCCCCTGTTATCTTTCCACTTGAACCAACCCAGTGTGGTAAGAAGGATCCCAGAAATAGGCCCCCAAGATTCCACCCCCTAATTCATGCAACCCCATCTATGACAACTGTCCCTCCTGTGATTATGTTAAATGGCCTCATTGGCTACTAGACAGGACATGTCAGAGTGAGCCCGACCTAAGCACACGAACCCCTTTCAAAGAAGAGTCTGCTCTGGCTGCTGATAGAGGAGGAAGCCAGAGAGGGTGAGTGTGAGGGGATTTCACATGCTCACTGGCATAGAGATGGAGGAGGCCACATGCAAAGGCCGCATGAGCAGACTTTCAGCAGCCAAGACTGACAGTCAGCAAGAACAAGGGGAACCTCCTTCCCATAACTTCAGGGAACTAGATTCTCAGAGCAACCCAAATGAGCCAGAAGCCCCCTCTTCAGAAAGGGACACCATCCTGGCAGCATTATGCTTTCAGCCATGCCGTCTGCCTGCCTGCTTATAGAAGCGTGAGCTCATACTGGCATGCTATTTTTAAGTGGCTGAGGGTGTTGTGCAACAAGAGAAATTGACAGCCTAGCTCATCCCTGGACCCTGATCCCAGAGCAGCAGGCTCAGCTTGGGGCGGGCTAGAGGCTGACTCCCAGGTGTGGGCGCTCTGCCCATACCCCTCTCTTCCTACTCCTGGCATTCCCTCTGGTTGTCCAGTGGCCCGGTCACACTTGGCACATTCCCACCCAAAGCAGCGGTCCTCTCGTGCCAGAAGCGCTGGCCCTCTTCTTGAGCAAAGTCAGCAATGGTGAAGGAGGTTGAAGCCCGCTGGGGCCTCGGGGACCGGCATGTGGCGGCTAAGGGCTGGCCTACTCCGGACCGAGGCCTTACCTCAGAGGACAGCAGCTGGAAGGAGAGATCCACTGTGGGGGCCTCGCCATTTATGGTTTTCAGCTTGGTGTCCTGGGGACGAGAAAGGAGCCACTGGGTCACTGGCCAGCTTCTGCATCTGCTCTGTTGCCCTGTCTGAGGCAGGCTATGCCCAGAGATTTGGGGACAGTGGGGGAGTGAAGGGGGCATGCTGCTGCCTCTGCCCACTTCACTGCCTCCATACTCCCCACCCCACCCCCAAATGTCTCCCAAAGCAGCACCTCCAGACTTGCTTCCTGGCACAGATGCATGTGTTGAGGTCTGTTATGTCAGGATGGTCAGACATGTTTTAAGGAAAAGGGTGGCATAGAAATAGACAAAAATGACAATGGCGGCATTAATTCAGAGCCCATGTGCTTTGCAGGTATTTTTTCACAAAAGCTCAAAGCAACTCTATTCCTGTCTTATTCCTATATACCCACTTCACACACAAGGAAACAGAGGCACCGAAGCCTCAATTTTCCCGCGATTATGTAAGTTAAGTGCTGGGACCACGATTTGGATCTTAACTCTCATCAACAGAAATTGTGGACAGAAGTGTTGCTCCCGGTTTAGAGCCCTCAGGCCCAGAGATGTTAAGTAACTTGCCCCAGGTTCCACAGCAAGGACCAGGGTGAGTCGGACCCAGATTTGGATGGCTAGAGGCTGGAGCTCTTGCCTCTACCCCATGAGGGCACCCTGAGATTCTCCCCAACTTGCTCAAGGGCAATTTCATCACAAGCCTGGCAAGACTGATTTGTTTATGTTGGGGAGGGCTCTTCTCACACCTGACAGGGGGGTCCTGTGCCTGCTGCTGGGGCAGGCTGGATGGGGTGGGACAGCTGGGGGGACTCACGGTGATGGGGAGTCGCTCCACGTGCAGCCCCTTCAGGCCTTCCCCGGCCATCATCTTGCGGTATAGGCGGCTCTTTAGTGGCAACACGGAGAGGCCCAGGGGCTTGCGGAGGGCCCAAGGCTCACTGCCTTTCACTGCACAGAAGGACCAGTTGGGGCTCTCACCAAGGCTCCCAGGCTGCACCTCGCAGACACCAGCCTCTGAGGCTTTGATGTCCAACACCGAGTCCCCCACTTGTTTCCTGCCTCCTGGCCTTCCCCTGTACCAATAACCCCCTTATCTGCTCTTCAGAGATGCCCGAGTTCAAAGCCAATTCTAAACACATTCTGTGCTTCTGGGTACTTAAATGGATCTCCCTTGTCTCTGCCTTTTGGGGGCTTCAATCTCATAATGTGGAAGTAAGACTGCATCGGTCTGAGGCCCGTCCGGTCCTCCCACCTCCCTCACTGACAGGTACATGGGGTGGGGTGATAGAGCAATAGAAATACACAGCTCTGGCGTGGGAAAGGGGCCCAGGGGCCCAGGCCTAAGCTGCTGGCAGGAGAAGGCAGGCAGAGAGGCGCCGCCCGCTGTGCGTGTCCTGGGAGAGCACCTCCACTCTGGGTCCCCTTACCCATCCTGGCAGGAGGTAGTGATGGGGGCAGGGGGCCCGAACACCCTCGCAGGTGTCCTGATCATGGCTGCTTGGGTGTGGCAGCGGGGTACAACGTACTTGAAGGGGCAGAGTGGTACTCCAGCACCAAGGCTGTGTCTTCTGAGAAGTTTGTGGCTCCATCTCGGCCTTGGAAGAGGAAGGATTGATTCCACAGGGGTAGCTCTGGGGGCCCCCCTGGCTTGGATAACTGAAAAGAGAAGGTGGGAGCAGGTGGTGGGGCCACAGCTTTCCCCAAATGAAGGGCCGTCTGGCTGTTTGGTTGTGTGTGTGCTTACATGTGCCACAAATGTTTGTCCCCATTATAGAAGCAGCACACGCTTAACGAATACATGTTGGAACAAACAGAAAAGTCAAAAGATTGAAAAAAAAAGAACTTACACTAACGACAACTGTTCAAAAGGCTGTGTGTTTATGTTTTCTTCCCATGCCTGCTTTGCATGTAATTGTCATCCTGACATTCTTTTTCATTACCATGAAAACCTAAGCATATTTGGAGTCAAAAGAGCCCGCCTGAGCCCTGACTTCAACAGACCAGATAGTCTGTTATGACCCAGGGCCCTGCCCTGCCCGGAAGCTCACTGCACACCGTATGAAGCCACAGTAGCTCCCCAGGACTGATAACCAAGTGCAGTCGCTGGGTTAAAGGATGTGCACAGTTTTTTTGTTTTTTGTTTTTTTTTTTAGATTCATTTATTTATGCATACAGAACTGGGATACAGGCTAGAGGTGCAGGGGCTGTGAGAGGATTCACCAGAGACAAGAGTGGGGAGCAGAACAGGCAGATCAACGAAGTACACTGCTGAGGGGAGCAGCGGGCGGGTCAGGAGAGGTCTGCCACACCATGGTGGGTCACCTCGGGGCAGGCAGGGATGGGACTCGTGCTGAAGTGGCTTCAGCTTCTTAGTGTTGTGCTTTAACCCCCTGCGCCACCAGGGAGGGCCTGGAGGTGCACAGTTTTAAGCACTGGATTTGTCATGGATCAACTGCTTCCCTAAGGTATGGCACCAGAGTTCACTGCCATGGCCAGTGGCGCCATAGATGTCAAATTAGAGGTGGACCCTACCCTTGTCACCAGCCCCTCTCTGCCCACATAGTTTCCTCAGCCCCTCAGATGCCATGGCAGGTCCTCAGATTCTCGAGGCTGGAGTATGTGGAGGGGGTGCTGGTGGGCCTGTGGGGACCTGCTCGGCCAGCAGGTGGGGCCAAGTATGGGTAACACCTGAACAATGAAATGAGACAAGGTTAACTACAGCCTCCAACTATGGGGGCCACAGGAGACATATCTATGGGTGCTAGGAAAAGCCATCTTGAAGAAAGCTGGTGCAGAAGAAGGCTCAGCAGGAAGACCTGAAAGTGTGATGGGAGGGAAGGTCTTCCAGGTGGCAAAATAGCCCAGGCAAAGTGTGGAGGGGGCACCGAGCACGACTGGTGGGAGGATGTGTGTATGTGGGAAGGCTTCCAGGTGGAGGCAGCACCTGCGAAAGCCGGACGGCCACCCAAGGAGGGCCCAACCCAGAGAGGCTGGGGCTCATCGGCGAGACTATCCAAGTGGCTGCCTGGCCTCTGCCCCCAGGGAGGTTGTCAGCAACAGTGGCGGCCTCTCCGCTCCTGAGTCGGCCTCTGTTCCCCTGCGGGCATCAGTCATTGCTTGAAAAGGTCAGCACAAATGCACCACCAGCCCCATGAGTTATTGATGCGGGATGGGGGAGCAGCAGTGTGGGGCCACTCCCCCCGCAGGGGCAGGCCCTGACGCCTGTCACATTAATGTGCTGCTCTGGGTCTCCCAGGCCTGTCTGAGGCACAGCTATGTTTGCTTTTGCCCCTGAGAAGGTGGGCGTCAGCAACTGGGGACAGAGTCCTGGAACACAAGGACAGTAGGGGGGGTGGTCTTGAACACAGCCTCTAGGGACCCTCAGGGACAGCCACGTGGCCACCAAAGAAGCTGCTTCCAGGCTCAGCGGGGCTTGGGAGCAGACTTAGAGGATGGCTGCCCAAACCATGCCTACCCTGGGCCTCCCATTCTCCTGGGCACTAGAGGGGAGCCACGTGGCCTGGACCATCTACCAGGCATGGAGGCACTCAAGAAGGGCCTGTGTCCTTCTTGACAGGCCCACTGCTGCCCAGGCCTTGCTCCCACCTGAAAAGAGGGCTATTTGTTTAAGATTTATTTTACTTATTTGTGCATACAAGAACTGGGGTGTAGGTCAGAGGTGCAGGGGGTGAGAGTGGGGAGCAGAACAGGTGGATCGACTGAAATATACTGCTGAGGAGAGCAGCGGGTGAGACAGGAGAGGTCTGCTGAGCCATGTGAGTCAGCATCCTGGCTGAGGTTGGAACTCCAGCTTCAGTGGCTGGGGACAGATTGACAACACTGAGACTCAACCCCTGTGTCACCATGTAGGCCCAGAAGAGGTCTATTTAATGGCTGCCAGCTGTCCTCTCCAGGGCCTAGTAATGGTCTGTATGGAATCTACAAAGCAAGAAACACCCACTAAGGGCAACTCCTTTCCTGAATGGTTTCCCAAGATGAGTACCCCAGAAAAGATGGCTTCAGGTCGAGAATTGGGGAGGACAAAGGGTGCAAGGAACCAAGATTAAAAGACCTGCAGTCTGGCCCTTCCTGGTGGCGCAGCAGGTTAGGGTGCAGCAGGTTAGGACGCAGCACTGCAAGCTGGCCACAGCCGCTTCATTGAGAGTTCGATCCCTGCCCTGGAGGTGACCCACATGGTGCTGCAGATTTCTCCTGACCCGCCCATTGCTCCCCTCAACAGTGTACTTCATCCATCCACCTGTTCTGCTCCCCACTCTGTCTCTGGTGAACCCTCTCACCACCCCTGCACCTCTGGTCTGCACCTCAGTTCTGTATGCATAAATAAATAACTCTTAAAAAGAAAAAAAGTCTAAAAAAAAAAAAAAGACTTGCAGTCTGATGCCAGGCCCTGGTGAAAGTGCTGTTGGTGTATGTTTGTGTGTGTGTGTGGGGGGGGGGTTGTTAAATGGAGAGGATGGTGGGAAGCCACCCTCTGAAGATGCTCATAGGAAAAGCTGTGGCTGGTGGTGTAATCCGGATCCATATAAACCCTCAGCTGTGATGTTGGGCAAAGCCATTAACCCCCATTCACTGAGGCAGACCTGCCTCCTCTGGGGACAGACCTTTGTTTCACTGGCCCGTGGTCCCTCCTCCCATCTCCCTGCCCAGGCACAGTGGCAGCCATCCTGGAATGGTAGCTGCCAGCAGCGGATGCCAGGGCAGGGCCTGAAGGCACTGGGGGCTGGTTCTGCGTCTGCCTTGCTATGTGACCTTTGGCAAATCCCTTCCCTTCTCTTGCTTATCCAAGGGGAACACACCTGAAACTCCAGGTCTTGTAAGGCTGTTGCAAGGGATCATGGGTATCTTGCTGTGGAGGTGCAAGTTTAATTCAATTGAACTCAATAAATGTTAATGGGGTGGGGAGGTGGCTTTCTATGCCAGGTACTCCTGGGATGTTGCAGGGCATAGAAGGGATTTAGCGTCAGACCCTGTCCTGCTCTGGACCTCATAATTTTCCAAGGGGACAGTGCATGTGTGCTTGCGTGCACACACACACACACACACACCCCTCAACTATCCATGAGAGGCTCTAGCAAGTTGTGGGGTATGGGAACTAGGATGTCTTAATAGAAATCTATGACTTCTGACATGTTGAAGGGGGGATCAAAGGGATAAAAAGTAGGTGAGAAGGAACAAGGCCACTCAGCTGACAGCAGAGGTGAAGGCTGGGAGAGCGGCCAGTTACCCCGGGGGGCTGGGGAATGCTGGGCCTGAGTGAGGAGGCTGGGGGAACAAGGCCTGTGTACCTGCGACCCTGAGGGGTTTGTTCTGTTAGTGACAAGGACACGGGGCCCCCAGGAAGGGCCCTAGGAAGGGTTGTGTGAATGCTTCTCAGAGGATGGACAGGCAGGCTCAGGTACAAGCTGCTGCAGTGGTTCAGGCAAGAGAAGAAGAGGCCGGCACGTAGGCAGGGTCTGTGGATGGGAAAGGCCCCCATGAGAGCTTGAGGAACAGGCTGGCTGTGGGGTCTGAGACACACACAGCTTTTCCACCACTGCTGTGTTTCACTGGCTAGGCACCTGCCTCAGCTCTGTGGGTGGCTGGGAGCCAAATGGTGCCCCCCTCAGGGGCTCAGAGAGGGGTAACCCTAAGCCCTGCCTTATGATGGGTGCCCCAGGATGGGTGGGGATCAAGCCCCACTATCCACTTACCCCTTAACTCTTCAGAGCTCAGTTTTGCATCATCACCAGTTCCAAGAGGGATGAAGGGGACACTCAAGGTACCCAACCCACAACCATTTCCCTCTCTTCCTCATAGACAGCAGAAATCTCTGGTTCACATGGTGACTGCCCACCTGCCTGCGTACCCCAGATGCCCTGCAAGGAGTGGCACATTCCTCTTGAGTGATTGGCTAAGAGAAGTGCACGTCACCCAATTCTGGCCAATAAGATGAAGGGGGAGTGCTGCAGAAGGCTGCTAGCAATGCTTCCAGTTCCTTCTTGAAAACCGGAGGCCCCTCTTGCCCTGGTCTTGGTCGTATTGGGTCAGTGCCCAGGATCCAGATCTGGCCTGAATTAGCAGCCTCCATGAACTGTTGGCCAGGGAAAAGTAGCATTTCTGAGACGCTGGGAAAATCCCAAGTCCTGGAGATGCCAAATCAATGCACCTACCAATTCTAGTAGCACCCAGCGGCGGGACAAAGTATGATATGTGACCACAAATATCACTAGAGTTTAAGTGGATATGAGTTGGGATTCTGTTACTGTCGCTAGGGCAATGGCGTGGTGGACCCCAGAGGGGACATTTGGCAGCAGGGGAGGACAGCTCTGACAGGGTGGATCTTGGTCTTCGGAAAGTGACCCTCCAAGTCCTCCCCACAGCCTAGTCAGGTAGGCACTGGAGAGGTCAAGCAGTCTACCAAAGGCCACAGGCTAGTAATCACAGAGCAGAGCCCAAACTCAGCATTCTGGCTCTCAGTTTGAGGGCCATGCTTTGACCTGTTGAGCAGTTGGTGAGCAACCACTGCACCTCAAGATATCAAAGAGGGGCCCTAGAAATGATCTAAGTCAAGCCTCATCCCCTCAACTGTAGTGATCCGGGTCTGAAGCTTAGAGGGAGGGAACAAAGGGTCTGCGTGAGTGCTGAGCTGAGAACTGCGGCCGGTCTCGGTCCAGGTAGGATGCCACCTCATGCCCCACCTGTGCTATCGCAGCCTGGCCTGGCTTCCCACTGTTGGCTCCTGGGCACCTCTGTGCCAGCTGCCAGTGAATTCTCAACCTGGCCCAGCTGCCATAGTGCTGAGACCCCTTCGACAAGTGCCCTGCAATTCCGGTGCCTGTGGCCTAGAACCCCACCCACATAAAAGGAATTGGGGGGCAAGGCTGTGCAGTGAGGGGCCCCTCTCCACCCCCAGACTGGTTAGGCAGTGCAGGCAGCTAGACAGGGCCCGAGGGAGGGGGCCAGTTATTAAAACAGGCAGCGCTTCTTGCCCCTTGGGACGGACTGCTGATTGGTTCATAATTTTCTGGGCAAATGCAGGGCCACGTATGAGATGACTCTGGGGAAATCAGGCCGAGGATTGGGTTGGGTTTGAGCCTCTGTCCCCATGGCCCTCCTTTGTCCACCCTCCCCACCACCATTACTCTTGTGGTGTCTGAGTCTTCTTCAAGTGTCTTTGCCTTTAAATGAAGACTGGGACTCCGAAGGGGTTCCTCGTTCTATTTCTGTCTGCCAGACGTGAGTGTTGGTGGGCAGGCAATAGGAAGGACTTCCCAGGCACCCCTGTCCTTCCTCTTCAAGGCCGCTAGGAGTGCGGGACCATCATGTGGGTCAAGCGCCCGCTGAAGTGCAGACTCTGGGAAGGCGCAACAAAGCCACCCCCCTGCCCCCAGCCAGAACCCCCCACCCTGCCCCACATCCTCATGCCCCCTCCTGCCCACCCCCCCACACCAACCCCACACACACACACACACCGCCTTGCACAACTGCGCTCTTCCTATTCCAAACGCCCTGCACCCACACTCCCCTGCTGAAAACTCCAGATCCCCTGTGTCTGGAGCTCCATCTGTATCAAGCAGATTTCACATCCCTCCTGCCTCTGATTAAAAACAAATTTGGTAAAATATCCGTAACATACATTTGACCATGTGAGCCAATTTAAGAGTACAATTCAGTGGCATTAAGTAATTTGCAACGCCATGTAACCTTCACCACAATTTAATTCCAGGACATTCCCATCATCGCAAGCAGAAGCTCAGTACCCACTGAATAACACCCCATCCTGCCACCCTCCCAACCCCTGTTCAGAACACTACTCTACTCTCCATCTCTGAATTCACCTCTTCTGGCAGTGCACCTAAGTGGAATCACACAAGAGCTGCCTTTCCTGCCTTCTCTGGTTTTCAGGGCTCTGCCAGCCCCTCCCAGTTTGTCACTGGAGTGTCTTGTTGTAGGTACTTAACTTTCTTAAGTGACAACTCCCATCTTCACCGACCAGGAGTTCCCGAGCGCGGCTTCTCTACAGCAGAGAACAAGGCCCTGGGTGCATCTGGGTCCAGGAACGCTCATCAGCCAGGTGGACAGCCCAGTGAGCGAGTGAATGACAGAAGAGTTACTCGGCGAGGAACCAGTGAGCGGGCCTGGAGCAGGGAGACATACCTGAGGGTACCCGGTCCTGCTGACCCGGGGCACATCAAAGGTCATCGCAGATGAGAGAGGGAAGGAGACGGGTGTGATGGGCAGCCCCAAGGAGGTCGGGTCCTGCTTTAACTGCCTGACCCTGGGGAGACAAGGAGATGTGTAGGCAGAGGAGGGATGAGCGCAAGCTTGGCACACATGCTTGGGATGATGCAGGTGAGCAAGAGAATGCAGTGCCCACCTGGTTCAGGCCTGGACACCTGAACAGGTGGTGTGTCCTGACCCTCTGAGCACTGGCCGGGGCCTTGGGAAAGCTCTTGTTGGTCAGGAAATAATGGGAGGCCCAGGTTCCCTTCCTATGACTCATTATGGTTTCTGCCATATCAATGCCTCAACTGGTCTGTCTTTAAAATGGGTCCCTCGCATCGCTGCCTCACCTTTGAAAGATCTTGCCAGAATGGCCCACCTCTGGGGTATCCTGGTTTACACTGGACGGGGGGTGTCATGGAGGCTGCAGGGGCAGGATTTAGGGTTTATGTGTGGGTGTATGATGGGGTGGGTCCATGGGGGGGGTACGAATGGATGTGTGTGTCCACTAAGCTCACAGGAGAGCTGGGAGTGAGTGCATTAGCTTCCACCTTCCTCCAACAAGCAGGGGAAGTTCAAGGTCATCAGAACTTCACAGGTGGAGGGGTGAGTCAGGACATTCTCTTGGGTCATCAGCCAGTGGAAGTGACAGAAGCACACAGCTGACCCCTAAGACATGGTGCTGTCACATGTTCCCTGCACTCTGTGGCATCCAAAAGCCAGCGAGCCCAACTCTCTCCTGAAGATGAGAATCCAATGAACCCCAAAAGAAGCTGGGAAAAGGAGAGACGAGCCCGCGTCAGAGCCAGGGAACCCTCCGGAAGGGCACTCTTAGGCAGGGCTAAAGTTGCTCTGAGATGCTCTAAGATAACCCTTATGCTGCCTTGTCTGTGCCAGCCGCCAGCTGGAGCCATCAGCCTGACCTGAGCAGGAGAGGGGGCTGTGAATGCGGCGGGCGTGAGTGGGGCAGAAGGGCTGGAGGGGCTCAGGGTGCCCTCTCCCCCTCCACTGGCTGCTGCCCGGATGTCCTCTCAGGTCAGGGGCCCCCACCTGGCTGGGGGCTGGGGACAGCCTCCTGGGACCTGGATCAATTGGGAGGCTCAAAGGGGCTTGCAGGAGGTGGGTCTCAGGCTCCCGGAAGCAGGCTGTGTAGCCAGGTCACCTCTCCTCACCCATGCCCCCGGGGCCCCACTCACTTGAAATCCTTGTAGTTGGGGACCACGCGGGCAACGACCACCATGGGGTTGGAATTGTTGACCAGAGGCTCGTTGATTCCCTGGAGGAAGACCTGGGGAGGACAGCAGGCAGGTGAGCCTGGAGGTCCTCTTTCCTCTCTGGCAGTGGGTCACCCAGTCTCCACACCTCTGCCCTGTTCCACCTGCTCTGCCTCATGGGGTTCTTGCTCTGTTCAAGGCTGCCCTCCCCCAAGAATCGTTGAGGCAGTTCCCCTGGGTTTTCTGTCCTGCAAGTTCAATAGTGGATCCTGGAAGCAGCTAGCCTTGGGGGAAGGGGGGAGAATAGGGCCTCGGCAGATCAGGCTGCTGCATTCTGGCCTTGGCCCCTCTGCTGGTGCCAACAGCTCACAAAGCTAACACACTGTTGTCTCTGCCACCACCTCCTGATGACCAGCACACACCAGCACTGCTGACCAGTGCACACCAGCACTGCTGACAGGTATCTGGCACTCTGTCTGGTCACCTTTGAGAGCTCACTGCTTGGGAGGGTCCAGTACTACTTCCTGGTACTGTTGAGTCCAGCACTGTCCGGCCTGGCATCTGGTGCTGTCTGGCCTGGCCTGAAGACTGTTGCTGTGGACTGCTGCAATGTCACCTCAGCAGCCCTGTCAGTGAGCACCTCCAGCTGCCATAAGTTAGGTCCTGGTCCACTGCCTAACTATGTGCCTCTGGCTCCAGGTTCTTGTCAAAGGGGCGGTGCATCTGGTATGAGCCTTTGTTTGGGGCCACTGGACACTGCAGGCATTATCTGGGATGAAGCAGTGGCCTGTGGCCTTAAAAATGCTTTCACTTTTGGGGCCCTCCCTGGTGGTGTAGCAGGTTAAACCACAGCACTAAGAACCTAAGCCACTTCAGCATGAGTTCCTGCCCCGGAGGTGACCCACATGGCGCAGCAGACCTCTCCTGACCCGCCCACTGCTCCCCTCAGCAGTGTATCTCAGTAGATCTGCCTGTTCTGCTCCCCGCTCTGTCTCTGGTGAAGCCTCTCACCACCTTTGCACCTCTGGCCTATAACCCAGCTCTGTGTGCATAAGTAAATAAATCTTAAAAAAAAAAAAAATGCTTTCATTGTGGGCCCTCACTGGTGGCACAATGGGTTGGGATGCAACGCTGCAAGCTTGTTGCAGCCGCTCAGTGAAATTTCAAATCCCACCCCAGAGCTGACCCACATGGCGCAGCTGACCTCTCCTGTCTCTCCCCCTGCTCCCCTCAGCAGTGTACTTCATCAGTTTGCCTGTTTTGCTCCCCACTCTGTCTCTGGTGAATCCTCTCACTGCTTCTGCACCTCTGACCTATACCCTGGTTCTGTGTGCATAAATAAATAGATTTTTTTTAAGTGCTTATAAACCCTATTGGTGTTGTATCCTAAGCCTGGTGGTCTTGGAATTGTCGGGGCAGGGATGAGAACCCACAGGCAGGGACCTGTCCCCGTCTTCTGGCACTGGTTTATGTCCTGTTTGTTTCCACTGTGGTTCCTTGGAGTCTCTGGCCCCTCATGGCATCTGCTTTTACTCCTGCCTGCACCCCATTCTCTTTCCCAAGCAATTTGATACAGTGGCAAAAGCTGCCTAAAGGAACTGGGTCGTGTCATTCCCCTGCCTGAGATCCTGCAATGTTCTCCTCCCACAGCTGCCTCAGAATGAATTCTGTACTTCCTACCTGAAGCCTGCAGCAGGCCAGCTGCTTGCATTCGCCTGTCTGCCTCCAGCCCTCTCTTTGGTCTCACTCCTATGTCATGCACCTCTTGTGTCTGTCCCAGGGTCTTTGCCCCTTCTGATCCCTCTCCCTAGTCTCCCACGCCTGCCCCACCCACTCACTGCAACTGGCTCCTTCTCTTCAGAGCGACCACCGCCTCTGAGAGGCCTTCTGTGAGTTCTCTGACTAAAGTAAGCCACCCTGTTCTTTCTCTCCTTTATTGCCTCTTCTGATAGCCTGAGCTTATTCCAATTTCTTTCTTGTTGATTTCTGTCTAGAATCAGGCCCCACCAGGCAGGGTGTGGTCTAGCTCATTCGCTGCTGTAGTTCCAGCATTTAGCAAAAGTGTTGGCACTGAGTAGGAGCTGTGTATGTTAGAGGGATGAGTGAGTCGACATTTCATGAAGGAGAAAAGGGGGTGAAGTGGGGGGAGGAGAGAGAGGTTCACGGTGTTTGTGAGTGTGACAGAGAGAAACAGATGTGTCTGGGGAAGGGCTGGGTGGAGCTGCTCTCGGAGGCTGGGTGGGGATCCTCGCTGTGATGGAGAAGAGCAGAAAGAGGAAGTGACTCTGGACCAGTCCTAGGGCCACGCCTCAGGCACACCTCAGGTGAGGAAGAGGCATCCGCTGCTCACTCTCAGCCACTCACTCCGGCTGAGCCACTGACTGGTGGCCATTCCCTGGGCCACACTGAGACTCAGTTTCCCCAACTGTATGCTGAGGGTTAAGACCCCAGTCTGATAAAAGTAGAAATATTCTTACCACAAAAAAACCCAAAAGACCCCACTCTGTCTGCCCCTTCAATGGGAGGAGAGCAAGTAGGAGCAGGGCCTTACTCTGGACACCTCTCCCTTCCTCCTCTTCTCACCGGCCCCTTTTCTAAGGCCCTCTGCCAGGACCTGCCTCAGCCAGTTGCCAAATAACCCTCCACAGGTGTGAGCTGATAGGCTGAGCATAGTCTCCCAGTTCTCTTTGGGGCCTGGGGAGACTGAGCGCTACCAGAGTCAAAAGACTGAATCTGATTGGGCTTTTCAAACTTTCACTGGGGTTGGGGTAAGGCCTAAGCTATTTCCCTGGAGAGCTGTCAGGCTCTACTGCTCTCAGGAACACAAACAGGCGTCAGGATGGGAAGGGAGCTCATTCACACCTGCTCTGAGCTGATGCTGGTCAGGTGCGAATGAGACAACTGCCCAAGCCACCTGCTCACAATAGCCAGGTGTGTGACAGAAGCAATTGCTTTGCTGTGTTCTCGGTCCGAGTCAGGGCAGACAGGGAGGGTATGGTGGGGTTCTGGAGGGCAGATGGGCTCTTATTCTCTGGGAAAGTTGGGGGGCTGGGGTGGGGTTGGGGCAGAGCCATGGGGGTACAGGGGGTGAGGAGGAACTGCAGAGCAAGGTGCTGCCTGGGTCTTGGGGCGTGTGGCCCCCTTCCTGGGGGATGTGGCCTGGGGACAGTAAGCCCAAGCTGTTATCACTCCTCATTCCATGAGCACGTGCACATGCTGTGGGCTGTCCTCAGAGAAGGGTGTGACCGAAGACAGAGCAACATGGGAGCAGAGGGTGTGCCTGCATGCTAATAATCAGGGGTGACTGTGAAGAAGCAGAGATGTGGCTCAGGGCTTCCGAGTTGCCATAGCCAACTCCAATCTCCCCTAAGGCCTCGGGGTCCCTGCTGTGATATAGGGTTAAAGAATTCTCCTTACCCATACCCCAGGGCTTACAGTGATATGGGGTAGATCAGATCAGCCGTGTTGGGGTCCAGAGCTTGGCTGATTCCCTGGTCATTCACAGGTCATGGTGGCATTTGAAACTGTCACCTCTGGTAGATGTGAAGGCAGGGGGCAGGGGAGCACTGACAGTTCTCCTGAGGCTTTTGGAAAGTCTTAAGATAGAAGGTAATGGGGAGGGGGTAATGGGTAGCTAGGCCCATCAGGAACAGGACTCAAGGATGGGGGGGGCCTTAAAATTTTTGCTTCCATTGTAAATCATGGGTCATTGCTATGGAGTGAACAGGATGGGCAAGAAAACTGCCAGGACCAAGGAGAGAAGGGCTTTTTCTTCCCCCCAAGAGAGGCGTAGGCCTGGGAGCTTCTCGCCCTCCCTCCACACAGGATGGTGTGAAAGGAGCGGAGAGAGGGCACACAAGACTCGGGCAGGGCCGGATCCCTGGGCAGTGCTGGAAAGGTCAGGATTGTCGTCATCATCTTCACTCCCACCACCCACCCAGGATTTGTCGTTCACAAACTAGTGTGGCTAATTTTGAACAGCCTGGTTACTATTTCCCTTCTTGATTTCTTCCCCAGACACCCCTGTCCACTGCCATTAGTCCAGTCAGAGGTGGCCAAGCAGTTCTTGGGGCTGCTCTGAGGTTGGCCCCGCCGCCCTCCCCACCCCAGAGCCTCAGTCCCAGCACCTCCAGCGCAGTGTGTTTGCAGTCAATGTATCGGGGGATGAAGCTGCCTTTTCGAACGACGGTCGCATACAGTTGGGTCTGGGCAGTGGCTCCTTTGGCTTTTCCAGACTGGGCGGGCTGAGGACAGGGCAAGGGAAGAAGACACATAAGGAAAGTGAGTAAGGGGCAGGGCCTGGCCATAAATCCGGTCCTCTGCAGACAATCACTAGGCATTGCTCCACTGGGACTCTGAGCTGATAATTAAAGCTCATGGTCCCGGCGAGCCCTTCCAAGGAGATCAATATAATAAATCTTCCCTTTTCTATTTGAATATTTCATCACCCTCACAAGGACCACTGCTGCCTGCTCTCTCAGTAAAGATGTGATAATGGGGCCTGGGTCGTAAGTGGATAGAGAGTCAGAGGCCTGGGTGATGGTCCCAGATTCACAGCGGAAGTGCTGGTCTCCCAGGTAGTTACTAGGTCTCTCTGGTGTTTCCCTTCCCTGCCTGGCACAGAGAGCTGCTTGGGAGACGCAGGACCTGGGCTCAGCCTGGGCCTAGTTCTTTACTTGCTCTGTGACCCAGGATGAGGGGATTCCTTTCTCTGAGTCCCAGTCCTACATCTGGGAAGTAAAATTCACCCTGCAGATTAGAGATGGTGTTTCTTGCCAGGGAACCCTGGACTTGGGGTTCTCCTTGGAGTAAGGGAAGTAAAGTCCTCTGGGGCCATGCTTGAGTTACAGAAACAAGGTCAATACCAGGACTTGGAGAGGGACAGAGGAGGGAACTGACCCGAATGGAGGGACTAATATGTATCAGGTAATTTGCTGAGTGTTTATGCCTCTCATTGCATTTGATCCTTCAAACCATCATGCTAGGACGTATGCTGTCTCAATGTGAGGAAGGCGGGGAGCAGTCAAGTGGACTCTTGTGGCTAGTTAGGGGTAAGTAGTAGACCTGGGAGAGGAACCCAGATGATCTAACTTCACATTGTTCTTTATACTGCTAACGGGGAAGGAAAAGTGATGGAGAGATCTCTGCATCTCCATACAATCTGACACTTAAACTTTAAGAGAGTAAATTCTTTCTACCAATAACCCTGGGGAGAGGGGGCGAACAGGGGAGTTGAGCTAGAAGGTTCAGGTCATAGATGGAGGTGTCCTGAGGTTCCTCGCACATGGCTCATGTCTAGCTGACCCAAGAGGGGTACCGTCCTGGGAACACTTTTATCTCCCACTACTCCAACTCTCTGTGGCCTTCCTCCTACCAAGGCATGAGGAAGCAGCACAGAGAGCTGCTTGGGAGGCGCATGACCTGGGCTCAGCCTGGGCCTAGTTCTTTACTCGCTCTGTGACCCAGGATGAGGGGATTCCTTTCTCTGAGTCCCAGTCCTACATCTGGGAAGTAAAATTCACCCTGCAGATTAGAGATGGTGTTTCTAGCCAGGGACCTGAAACATAGTAGGTAGTCTAAATACTGTAAATATTGTATTTCTTGGATTTCTAGAGGCACACCCTCTCTTTTAACAGAGTGCATCTTTAATCGGGACATTTATTTCATGTAGTAGATATTCTTTGCTTAGGCTGTTTTATGGTGATGAATTTAGAAAATTCCAAATTCTTACAGAAGTCGTTGTTTTCCTGGATCCCACATAGTCTAAGACTTGCCATACTATTGCGTGGGCATGGAAAGCCGAGCGCTTCTGGGAGAACAGGGAACATCAAGGAGGTCCCTGTTTGCGCCTCCTACTGGTCCCAGGTTCATATGGGCCCAGAGCCAAAGGCTCTGGCTCACCTTCACCAGTTCAAAGTGGTAGGGGTGGAAGACACGTAGGTACTTGATGGGGATTTGGTAGGACAATAGCTCCTCTTTCTTTTTGTTATCCATCACCTTGAGGACCACATCTAGAGAGAAAATAGAGGAGTGCAGGGTCAGATGGGGTTTAGCTGATTCCCTTCCTTCCCAGTGGGTCAGTGAGAGGTGAGAGGCATTGCTGAGAATCGGGGAGCAGAGGCCAGGTTGAGGAATGCACATGTGTGCACATTCCATAGGCCCAGTCTGAGCTGCTGCATGGGGTAAGGCTCCATGCTTGGGACTTCTGGACCCCAAGCACCACTTCTCTCCTATGCTCCAGGAACTCCGAGCCCGGGGCGGACACACAAACCGACCCCATCCCCCAGAGTAACAGATGTGCATGTACAGAGACACACACGTGAGCAGGAATAGCATTCATTCCCAGAAACGGGCCTTGGTCACACAGGAAGGTCCTCAGGCAAGGAGGGGAAGGATAATGTCCCATATGTTGCAGATGAGGAAAATGAGGCTAAATAAAAAAAAACCCTCAATGTCAAAAAAAAGTCAACATCAAGTATAGGAAAATCAATCTAGGCACTAGGCATACAGCTTAGAAAACTCCTCAAAGAGACTATCATTGTGAAGTGCATGGACTCTGGCATGGACTTCAAGAAAAAACCAATGATGTAGAAATAATCATGGTGGTCCTACTTTAGTGAACCCCTGTGGTGAGGATGGGCACCTCGGGTCATTACTCCAACAAGTCTCTTCACAGCCTCTCAAGTAGGAACCCTTGTCTCTGCTTTGGAAATGTGGACACTGAATGGGTGATATAATTTGATCCACTCTCCATTAGTAAATGACTGATTTGAGGAGGAAGAGGAGGTAGTGGAAGAGAAAAGGAAGATAGAATATATGGGAAAGGGAGGAAGACAGAATGAGGGAGTTAGGGGAAGGGAGGCGATAAAGATACCAAAAGAAGAATGCAAAGGGAGGAGTGGAGTGGGCAGGTATAGCAGAAGAATTTCTTGGGACCTCCTGGCTCTCTTTCTTCTTTGCACAAGAATCTTTTCAGCACCAGGGACAGCTTCTAGCATAGCTGGTTGCAGCTGGTTGGGTCACTTAACTACAGGGTGACATTCTCTGCCCCACAGTTACCTAGGATGCATAGAGAGGGAAGACATTTGTAAAGGTCCTTCAAGAACTGGGCATGTGGGACCTGTGCTCAAAGGAAAGGGAAAAATATTCTGAAGACAGCAGAGTAAAGCAAGGCATCTTAAGTCAGCAAACCTGAGGTCTAGCACCAGCACACCAACTTGCTCTGTGACCTTGAGTCAGTCACTTAGCCTCTCTGTGCTTCATGTTTCTGCTCTGCAAAACATTAAAACTCTAAAAAAAGAAAAATACCCTTCTCCCTTCTCTTCATATTGTTGTAGGAAGGGGAATATTATTCAAGCTATAAAGTTCTAGGCAAATGTTCCTTGTGACTGTCACTATTTTCTTCCTCATTAACCATCTGCTGTGCTCCATATAGTCACCCAGCCCTGAGCAGACAAAACACAAAGCTGGGGGATTCCAGTGCTCACAGCCAAAGAGTTCCAAGAGGAGCTGTTGAGGCTCCAGCCCTTCAGGCCAGTCCCCAAGGCCAGTCCTCAAAGCTGGCTGGAATTTGCTGAGATGGAACAAGGGGTGAATGCCCTGCATTCTTGCCCTGTCTCTGGAGCTCTGTGTGGGCAGCCAGCAGATGAGCTGTAATTGGGGGGAGCGAACAGCTTTCCCTCCCCGTTTCCAACTGCACGCTACATACACACTTCATCAGCTTTTCCTCTGGGCATTGTGCCTCTCCAGCCTCCTGCTGCTCTCCTTATGTGGCCAACAAGCCATCTCTGCTGCCTGCCTGTTTTGGCCCTGACACAGGTCTGCAACTCCCCTTCGCTTTTCATTAACACATCCCTGAGTCACCTCCTGCCCTCCCCCCACCTCTTGGCCTGGCCCCACTTCCCCACCCCCTACTGTAGACATCACCACAGCAACCAGTTCCAACCAGGTTCCAATAAGCATCCAGCTAGTCCAATCTGCAAAGAGATGCCTGCCAATTTCCCTGCCTGCCTGTGGGACTACCCTACCTGCCAGTCAGTATTGCTCCCTTCTCAGATGCCCAGATGGACCCCAACACCACTGACTCGTCCTGCCCTTTCCTATAGTCATCCCAGGTATGTACAGCCCAGGCCAGCATCCCAGCCAGGGTCCACTCCCTGATTTCTAGTCACCAGATACATGCCTATATACACACACACTCATATACAATCAGGCGCATGCCACCACTCAGATAACGCTGCACACATGTATCACACTATTGCAGCCAGAGGCATGTGTGCGCATGTGCAAAACACACAGACATGCGTGTCTACAGGCACCGTCAAAAGTGCACAGGCACACTCGTGTGCACTAATCACACTGTTGAGCCAACAAGCAGGCATTCACCCACATGCACACACATCACCTGCATGAAATCCTGAGTCCATTTTTCCTCTCCTCCCCTTTGTTCCACATCACTCCAACAGCCCCAACAATCCCTTTACAGGCAGAAAACAAATCCTCTGGCTTAACCCAGAACTAGTTTCTTCCCTCTTTGTAGCTGCTCCTCCTTGCCCCTTCCTTTCACAGTCTTTAGCAGCTGGTTTTCTGCTCTTTGTGAGGCAGGCAAGGTGTTTAAGTCCCTGGAAAGACTTCCAGGGGAGAAGTCAAGCTTGTCCTCTGCAGGAAGGACAACCTGCCAGCCAGCACCTGAGGCTCCTCTGGCTAGGTGAGAACAGACATCATAGGCCCAAGGGAGTCTGGGCTGACGGTGCCGGATGCCGGCGCCCACAGACAATAATGCTGTGTACCCGGCCCAAGCTCTTGCCCTGGAGTGGAAGACAGGCCTCCAGCATGGAAAACAGGGGGTGCATGTATGCATGTCCAGGGGTAACTGCAATGGCCTGTGCATGTCAGAACTGGCCAAACAGAGCCTGGAAAGTATTTGGGGGCATTAGATGGAGGACTGTCTACTGTATCCCCCACAAGGGTGGACCCTGACACCCACAAAGCTTAGGAACACTACTGTCTGACCAGCAGCAGTCCCAGGGAGGACCATGCTGGGTAAGGAGTCACTCTGTAACAGGGGAAGTTCCAGGTTCCCTGCCCTACCCAGAGGAGGGTGGAGCTGAGCCAGGAGAAGAGAAGAATCAGGAGAGGGGACTGGAGAGGAAGGAAACAGGATGGCAAGACAGAAGGAGACCTGAGGGCAGCACAGGGAACAGAGACATGTGAAGAAACTGCTTGCTTTTTCTTGGCCCTGGACTGGGTGAAACAGATGTGGGTGAGAGGCCCATGGGGAGGCCGACAATGGCAGCGTTTATCTTGATTTTGATGTTGCTCTTTTCCTCCCAGACTTGTCTGGCCATTTCTGACCCTTTTCCATGGGTCCCGGCCAGAAGGTGCTTTAGGCTTGTGGCAGCTTTCAAACCTTGCTTTGGGCCAATCCCTTTTGGGTAGACTTTTACCCACGAGAGGATGGGTAACTTCAGGTGTTTAATTTAGAAAATATATTCATATATTCTTTGTCTTTCCTGTATTGCACACTCATTGTATTAAAGTGCCTTTCCATTAACAGTCTTATATGTTTTGTCTTGATGCGGTGGATGGCAGAACCTACTTAGAGTAGAGGCAGATTTGGGGGTTCAGTGGTGCCCCTTTCCCTGCCCTGTAACAACTCTAGAGCAAGCACTCGAGCTAGAGCAAGCACATGCAGTGATGAGTTCTGGATCTTACACGTGTGGATTACTTGAGCTTGAACCAGATACACCAGTTCCCTGAACGTCAGTGCTCTCGTCTAAGCACTGGGAGCTGCCTCGCTCCTCCTGGAAGTCGCGATGCCAAGGAGCAACGCGTGGAATGTGCCAGGGAGCTGTAACAGGCTGCTGCAGTGGGAGGCAGTGGTAATAACAACCATGAAAATAATAACAATGGTCATAAAAACGATCAGCTTTCATTGTCTGGAAAATTCATTTATGTGGAACAACTCATTTTTCGAACAGGCTGGGAGATGAGGCATGACAATATTATGGTTTTTTCCTTTAAAGTGCTTTTAACTGAGCCCCGGGAGTGTTCAGGTGGCTTCCAGCTGAGCTGAAGGAGCCGCAGTCCCCTGCCTTACCTTCTTGCCCTGCATCCTCAGCTTGGATCTCCACTTTCACCGTATCCCCCCACATGGGGGCTTGGGTGGGCTCTGAGGTCACAGATGTCACCGCCTTGGAGTTTAGGTTCTTTGCTTCCTCAGATGTGGTTTTCCTGGGGAGGGGAGGGGGGGAATGGAGTTAGAGCTAGGGTGTCCTATGGGCTGCCAACCTGCCTCTCAGCCGCCGCTGTCCATAAATCTGAGCAGAGAGTGGCCAGAGCATGAAGGGCTTCTTCTCGGGCAGACACACGTCACCCCAAGCAGAGGGGACGCCAGGCCTCTGTCCTACACAGTCCTGCCTTCCCTGCCTGAACACACTGTATCTCAGGCTACTGTGGAGTGCTTCACATGGACTCAGGCACCACAGGCTGAGGGCAGGTATGGAAATGGGGGCAGACACCTTTGTGTCTCATCCCTACAGACACCTGTTTACATAGTCTCCTGGTGGTCTTCTCCAGGATTGTTAGTGGGGGAAGCCTCTGGGCAGGGGCCTGTGTGGTGTCTGCCTGGTGGCTCCTCTGACCTCCCCTCTCTGAGTTTCTGGGCCAGATTCCCAAGACTCAGCTCAGCTTCCTGCTCTGTACCCTTGCCATGTAGCGCACACGTTTCTGCCTTCTGTAGCACCTACTGTGCGCAGGGCCCTGGTCTGGGCACCCTCCTCACACAGTGGGGCAATCCAGGCTGTCAACGGAAGGTGGGAGCTTGGGTGTTCGGCACCCCATTACATCCCACAGGTATCTCTGATAAGTGTCCCTAAGATTCTGGGCCATCAAACAGCTCAACCAGAGAGTTAATACTGTTGAAGAGGTTATTATGTTGAGGCTATAAACGGTGCTGCTACATTAACCACAGCAATCATGGGTGAGGAGTCACTGCAGAGAGCCTGTGCAGGGGAGCCACACCACATACTTGGGGGGAGGGGAGAAAGGGGGCAGCATCTCACACATATATACACATCGTACCTCAGGGTGAGAAGCAGAGATGGTGTTCTGGCCAGCCTTTGGCTGCACCCAGCAGCAGTCCTAAAGGGAATGTTCACCCAGAAGCTCACAGCCCATCTGCCCCATATTAGCACCAATCTGTGACCCCTTCCTCCATGTGCCCTGCTCTCCTCCTCCAGGAAGTCCTCTGAGCTACCCCGGCCCTCACTGCTGCCTAACATCCTCTGAACTTGAGTGGTCTGGCAGCCTTAATCCTATGGAGCAACCATGCAGAGCCCTGTGGCCTGCAGGACTGGAGAAGGCAGAAGTTTGAAGGCCAAGCAGACCCCTGGTCAACTTTTTTTTTTTTTTAAGATTTATTTATTTATTCATACAGAACTGGGGTACAGGCAGAGATGCGGCAGGTGAGAGGATTCACCAGGTACAGAGCGGGGAGCAGAACAACGAAGTACACTGCTGAGGGAAGCAGCGGGCGGGTCAGGAGAGGTCTGCCGCGCCATGTGGATCTCCACCGGGGCAGGCGGGGATTGAACTCCGTGCTGAAGTGGCTTTAGCTTCTTAGTGCAGTGCTTTAACCCGCTGCGCCACCAGGGAGGGCCCCTGGTCAACTTTTTAATGCTTAGAGATGACATAAAGTAAATGATGGGATTTAGAAAATTTGAATGTGTGTGTGTATGTGTATGTCTTAAAAAAAAATAATACAGGCTTCATAGCCACACATTTTTGTGGCTGTCCTGATCCCAAACTTCAGGGGCCCACTGAGGACCCTTCTCCTTCCACTGGGAGGCTGTGTGGCAGGGTGATAGCAACTGGGGCCTTGGAGCCAAACTTCATGAACTCCAAATCCCAGTTCTCCCCCCTCCCCTCCTTAGTGGCTGTGTGACTTTGGGTAAGGTGGATAGCCTTGCTGTGCCTGCCTTCCTTCATCTGTCGAAATGGGGATGATAGTGCAAGGCCTAACATGAGTATGCATGAAGTGAGTATGTATAAATTATCTGATATGTTGTTAAACACATAAAGTGTTAATAAGTTTAATTGCCCCTAACCTGGTGTCTCCTCACTGTGACCCAAACTCTGGGTCTACAACTGGCAGGTCTCTGGCTGTGACCAAGGTCTGGCATCCTGGGAAGAATACAGGCTTCATGCTTTGCTCAAACAAACCATACAGGGGCCTTGTGGCCTGTAGGACTGGAGAAGGCAGAAATTTGAAGGCCAAGCAGATCTCTGATCAGCTTTTTAATTCTAAGACATGACATAAAGTAAGTGATACATATATACCTTTTTAAAAAGGGCTTCATAGCCATACAGAAGTGGGCTTTGAATCCATAGTTATCTGGCCAGTCGCCTTTCCTCTCTGAAGTAGTCTCTCCTTCTAAGAGTGTTACTAATTAGTGCCCTTGCTGGTGGCACAACAGGTCGCAGCACTACAAAGCTATCTGCAGCTGCTTCAGCAAGAGTTTGATCCTGGGCCAGGGTGGAGAGACCCACATGGCGTGGCAGACCTCTCCTGTTCCACCCACTGCTCCCCCCAGCAGTATACTTTGCTGATCTGCCTGTTCTGCTCCCCACTCTCTCTGGTGAATCCTCTCAAGGCTCCTGCACCTCTGGCCTGTGTCCCAGTTTTATATGCATAAATAAATAAATCTTCAAGGACTCTCCCTGGTGGTGCAACAGGTTAAAGCACCACATTAGGAAGCAGGTCCATCCCCCTCCAGGGAGCTGAGCCCAAGTGGTGGGGAGACCTCTCCTGAACAAAGCTGCTCCCCTCAGCAGTATATTTCAGTTCATCTGCCTGTTCTGCTCCCCACTCTGTCTCTGGTGAATCCTCTCACTGCCCCTGCACCTCTGGACTGTACCCCAGTTCTGTAAGCATAAATAAATTAAATCTTTAAAAATAAAGTAAACAAATCTTCAAATAAGAGTGTTACTCATTGTTGGAAAGCAAGCATGTAGGTTCCTGGCACACAGACTCTCTGACCACTGCTGACTGAAGGCTCCAACCTGAACCCCTCCGGGGCGCCTCTGTGAGCTGCTCTCATCCTTACAGTCACCCCAGGGCAGAGGCCCCCCGAGCCCTCAGCAGCCTGTCTCCCTTCATCCTGCCTGTTCTGCTGCTATCAGTGCTCCCCTCCTCCCGGAGCTGTGCCCCACAGCTGACTGCCGGACAGGGTGGGCACTCCAGGGAGGCGTGGGAGGAGGAGGTGCTCTACACCCCAACATCAAGCCAGGCTGGCAAAGCTGCTCCAGCATGGGCCCTGGGATTCTGCCCATTCTGCCCATTTGGGGCTTGCCAGTGCACAAAGACAGAACTGGGAGCGATGAACTGAAGTCACAAGCAGTGTGGTGCCAGCTTCAGGCCTGCCCTTGCCAGCCTGTCCTCCGCTCTCCTGTGGCTTCTGCCTCATGTCCCCTCCCTTTCTCTGCCAGAGCTTGAGGTGGCTTGCAGTAGGAATTCCAGGTGGAAAAAGTTGAGGCAGGGCCAAGGACGGCTTCACTTGGATGGGTGCAGAAGGAGTTAAGCAAACATCTCTCATTCTTCCCTCCGACACTCAAGTGGTCAGGGCTAGGTGAGTTGAGATGAGAAAGGCTAGGAGGGTGAAGCCCCAGGGGTGGAGGGAGGCTTTTAGCAGGTGGAGGGAGGCTTTTAGCAGGTGGAGGGGAGCTGTTGGGGTAATGACTTTTCCTGGCTCCTCTGAGCCTTCATGCTCTTCTAGAAACTGGAGAGCTAAAGGAATCTCTGGTTCCTCACAGAACAGGAGACGGAGACCAAGCCTCATCTGGGTAGGAGGGGTGTCCAGGACTCCCAGGCCTGAATAGACAGGGATCTCAGTGTATTTAAGGGCCAGGGATGTCTCTCCAGGACCAGCCACCCAAGAGCCATGAGCAAGATGACACCCTCTATCCCTGGTCCTAAAACCTTGCCCTGGCTCAACCTTGAGGCCTAGACTTAATCTAGACATAGGAAGGGGGCAGTCACACCAGCATGGAGTGTGGGTGCTTCAGAGGCACCTTGTAGTTTTCCTTACTCATGAGTTGCCAGAAAATGTCAACTCCCCCAAGCTGCTAACCCCCACCCCCACCCACCCCCACCCCGCAGGGTGCTGAAGAGGTATGTGTGTGACAAACTTGCACCCACCAGGAGAAGGCCAGGTCCAAGCACAGTTGTGAGTAGGAGGAAAAAGGTCCTTACTTTCCTTCTGTGGGGGTATAACTAAGGGGAATGTGCTGTTTGGGTCCGGGGACTGCAGCTGTGAGTGGTAGCAACCAGTGGAAAAGCACAGGGGGAAAGAGGAGCGAGCCAGCCTCTGAGCCCTCCTAGCTCTACAGCAGTCCTCTGAAATGCTCTCTAGGCACACTCTAAGGCACACACTCCCTCTCCAGCCCCCTTCTCTTCATGCCCACATGCAGGATCCTTTGAGGTCAAGCAAGCCTCATAGCTGGGACCTTGGCACAGCACCCCTGGAATTGGTAGGCAAGATTTGGCCAGGGGCTCCTCAAAGCAAGAACTGAGACACCAGTGAGAATGGCTAGTTGTCTTAAGACAACTAGCAACAACAAATGCTGGCAAGGATGTGGAGAAAAAGGAACTCTCCTGCACTGCTGGTGGGAATGCAAACTAGTACAACCACTATGGAAAACTGTTTGGAGGTTCCTCAAACTGCTAAACATGGAGCTTCCCTACAACCCAGCAATCCCACTCCTAGGTATCTACCCAAAAGACGCTAAAACATTGACTCAAAAAGGCACCTGTTTATTGCTGCTTTATTCACAATTGGAAAGACATGGAAGCTGCCCAAATGCCCAAAAGTAAGTGACTAGATTAAAAAGATGTGGTACACATACACAATGGAATATTACTCAACAGCCAAAATAACCTCAAAAAATAAACGCATGCCTTTTGCAGCAACATGGATGGAGTCAGAAGGGATCATGCTTAGTGAAATAAACCACAAAGAAAAGGAAAAGTACTGGATGGTTTCACTCATAGCAGGAGTATAACAGACCAGGCAAGAAAATAATTATAATAATGAACAGTTATATAGCAGACACATTTTATGGGGGGTGGAGTGGGGAATGGGATCAAAAACGGTGGGGGGAAGGAAGTGCACTGGACTATGGTGATGACACAAGGGCGATCTGGGGTGATGGGAAACCCATGGGGATTACAACTG